CTTCCTTCCTTCCTTCCTTCCTTCCTTCTTATTATTGCCTATCCTTAAACTTCCTGTCTCTTTTAACTGAAGCATCTTAAAATTCTTCCTTATCCTCATTAACTGTTGTGTCGGAGGACTCATACAGTACTTTTGCTGTTGCCAAGTAAATTGATAATGGAGGAAATAAATTCGAAAATTAGCAGAAGAACTATAGCAAAATCTGGCAATTTTACCCACTCAGAGAAACCATGGGAAGCAAGCCAGTCACTTGTTTGGAAGTGATAGTAGGAAAAAGCGTTCAAATATTTACTCTATTCAGACCAATATATTACTTTAAGCTTCTCCGTGTTATGAAGGACATGTCCACTGTTAAGATCAGAGGAGAATCTGTGAGGGCCTGTGGAGTGAATGGCCTTCTATCCTTTTTGAAATAAAATATTTTAGATAGAATTTTAGTCACCTCAGCAAGAAAATGCTAGTTTTTTGGGAATGTAATGTAACATATATAACACTGACAAGGGTCCAGCAAAAAAAAAAAAATGGCTTTTTCGGCCCTAGATCAAATATCTAAAGAAAAAAAATATGAAAAAAGATATTTAGAGCAGGGCCGGCAACTATCGTTTATGTCTGGTCCCTTCATCATCATTTATATCTTTAAAACGGATGGTTGTAGCTGTATGAATCAAACTCAATTTTACAATTCAATTTACAAGGAGCACACTTTTCTGGTATTAAAAATTCCAATTTTTTTTGTTGCAACCCCAAAATAAAAAAATAAACATAGCTAACTAAATTCAATTATACGCTTTTCCTATTAAAAGGTTCACAGAGTAGATGCAATGGCTTGATAAAACTTTAAAAGTTTAAACTGAGATGTCCAATTTATCATTAATCAGTACCAACTTTTAATTATTGAAAGTGGAACTATGATTCTTAGAAATTAGAAAAACATTCAGTTAGGCCCCTAGTGTCCACATTACAGTTAAGGGGTTGAAACAACGTACACCTGTGTTTTATATGACGTGATTTCTTTTGGCTCTTGTGGGCCACATAAATTGCCATAGTAGGGCTGATTCAGTTTGGTGGCCTAGAAATTGATGAGTATGATCTAGAGAGTGTGATTGTGCCAACTATTAAAGGCAGGAAAGAAGAGGAATCAGGGGCAGAATTTCTCAAAATTACCTTATGAGGTTATGCTGCTGCAATAAATGATTCATTAGTTTTAATTCAGTTGACAGAGATTCACACTGGGCGCCAAATAGAAGATATAATGGAACCATGTGACTGAACCTTTTAGCCTTTGAGGAAAAAAATGTACTTGGTGCCAAATGAGAAGTGAAATGATTAGGGTCCTTTTCCTTTTTAATCTTTGCACAGTTGGACTTTTTGTCGACACAAAAGGGGAGTAAGCCATACCAGCAGCAAGTACAGTATAGAAATGATCAAGGTTTTAGGGAACTTAACATCAGATCTGCTTTATATCTAGGTTTGCGTTTCTGTAGTTTAGTTCCAAGGGTCTATTTCTTGCTTTTTTACATCATTGCTTTATTACAGAATATAGAGCAGCTACTCAGCTTTAAGGAAAACTCCATCTGCTATAATTTATCAGTGTAACTGTCCTGAATAAAGAGAAATCTATATAATTTTTTTCTAGAATTCCACTACAATAGGGGGTTTGATTCAGCACTTAATACGTTTGAAAATAAAAAAGATAACATTATAAGGTTACATTAAAATAAAATCTGGAGGGGATTATTTATTCTCGCATCATGTAGCTCCCTACAACTGCACCCCTTTGCTTTTTAAAGATCCTAGAAGTTCAAGACCTACTTCTGTACCAACTATGCATTTATCTAATTTAATCCTTTAAGTAAGGAGAAATTGCTTCACCCTACATTAAAATATGCGTATTTGTTTATGCAGATTATCCTTTAAAAGGAATAAAAAGCTTGTTTTACCGAAGTTACAGGTTAACATGCGCTAACCTTTTATTCCGTCTAATAGAAAATCACAATTTCTATGCAGATAGAAATGTGCGTCATCTATTTTCTTGAATGTGTGTCAGTCGTGTAGATTTTTTGTAAATATGAAGAAAAATGTAAAATCCTAATCTAAAGTTGTTTCTCACATACTGTATGCTGTGTCATAATGATGAAGGTCACAGACTACTCATCCTCTAGCGAAGAATCGGAAAGCAGTGATGAGGACGGGGAGGTGTTGGGGCACGACGGGACTGTGGCTGTTAGCGATATCCCCCGCATCATGTAAGTTGTCTTTTCAGGTTTTATTTTTATCCTTTTGTGAGTTTTTTATTAACTGCAAGCTGTCATTTTTTTTTTTTTATTACTTTCAAAGTTCTTTGTAATTTGTATTTTACTCAATGGCAGATGATTGCAGGCACTGTTTCAGCAGAATTTGTTTTGTAAGTGATGGAGTGTGTGTGCGCTGCAGGCCTGGAGTGCAGAGCGGCTCTGAGTCGTACGGAGGGCTGGCAGAGGACGCTTTGGGAGATGCCTATAATAGCTCCAGGGACAGTACTCTGATGATGAGAGAGGTGATGAATGTGAACACACAAGTACATTTAGTCTCAAAAAGCACGCACACACAGGATGCATGAAGCCTACTGCAAAAGTATTAATATCCATTTAACATTTCGACATTTTGTCACATCATGATCACAAATATCAATGTGTTTTAGTAGAATTTTCTGTATTTCATCGACTATGAAAAAGTAGTACTTACCTTTTGGTGAAATGAAAATCCTACATGGTTTTTAAGATGTTACAAAGGAATTTTTTTTGTATTCAAACCTACTGATTCAATTCTTTGCCAAACCTCCCAAGTAATTACAGTGTTATTTACTGTCTGTATTAGCTTTACTCACTGTTTAATAGCTAAAGCTCAGTTAGTAAGAGAGTGAAGCAGTTTTCAGGTCTGGACTTAAATACATCATTTTTACACATGAATGCTTTGATCTAAACTGTTGTGTTGTTTTTCTGCCGTATGTATTGTTCATTGTCCCACTTCAGTCTCAACTTGTTTTGCACCAGGAACTTTCTGATTTTATTTATTTATTTATTTATTTATTTTTAACCAATCTGGCAAGCTATCCTTTCCTTCAAAGGAAAAGCCTTCCCATGGCACTATGCTACAACCAACATGTTACAATTGTACTATATTCTTTCTTTTCTTGCCCATGCTAAGACCAAGTTTCTAACATGGAGGTGGTAGGATAGTACTTTTCTTTAAAGGAGAGGTTAGCTTCTAAGCTCAAGTTCATGGTCTTAGTGGCACTACATGTTCATTAAAGTTCTCTAACAAACCCCTGGAAAGTTGCATTTATGCTGAAATTAAATAGAACAGATTAGACACCCAATTTTAAAGGTAATTGGTTACACTGGATTTTATTTTATGAACTAAGTAGTGGAAACTATACCAAATGGCACAATATTTCTTAGATTTTAGTATCCTGCTTCTTTATTCAAATATAAGCAACTACAAGTTGCTCTGTCACATACAAGTCAGATGGGGTATTACTTGGACAAAATGTGAAAACTTTAAGCTTGAGAATTTGGGCTGAAGCATTTTAAAAAAATATGTTTCTGTTCACGTGTAACTCTAAATCTAATAGCAGTATTTCCTTTCTGATCAGCTTACCCTATATCCATATTATCTTCTGCTTGTGGCATTCAGGCAGAGGAAAGAAGGAGAGGTGGTCACCCTGAAAGTAATGGGTTCGGCAATCACGGTAACCATGGTAACCTCCCTGACCTAGTGCAACAAAGCAACTCTCCCAACTCCACACCCACCACAGCTCTGCAAGAACTAAGTGACATGGCTGAGGTTAGACTCACTAACACATCATACGACTGTGCTCATAATGCTCAATCATGTGTTTGAGATCATTGTTGGTTATCGTTAAGCAATCACCTTTCTGTTTGCAGTTTGGTTTAAGTGGGTCCAAAGCATCGTTTACTCCATTTGTTGACCCTCGTGTTTATCAAACCTCCCCGAGTGAAAACGATGAGACCTCAGCAGCAGGTAGAAGCAAAGCTTTAAGTTTTTGAATTTCACTCGTGCCACTTTATTTCTTTTCGAGCTTTAAAGGGTACGCTAGACCTCACCTCCTTTTAAATGTTTCCGTGTCGCCCCAGCCATGTTTGCCAATGAGCTGCTGAGGCAGGAGCAGGCCCGACTAAACGAAGCTAGAAAGATATCTGTTGTGAATGTGAACCCTACAAACATCAGACCTCACAGCGACACGCCAGAAATCCGTAAATACAAAAAACGCTTCAACTCAGAGATCTTGTGTGCCGCACTCTGGGGTAAGTAGTAAATTCTTTTTCATCTCTGCATTGTGCCCCAAAACAAATCCCTCCAGTTTTTTATACATCCACATCTACTCATTTTTTTCACCCTTTTATGTTTGCGTGTGCTTAGGCGTGAACCTTTTGGTTGGGACTGAAAATGGTTTAATGCTGCTTGACCGAAGTGGACAGGGCAAAGTCTACAACCTGATTACAAGACGTCGATTCTTACAGATGGACGTTCTGGAGGGTCTGAATGTATTAGTCACCATATCTGGTATATGCTGCTTTTTTAAATATATCTTTGTCTTTGTCATCTGTGTTCGATAATTTAAATCTTGCTTTTCGTTTACCTCTCCCTTAGGGAAAAAGAATAAATTGCGAGTCTACTATTTGTCCTGGCTGAGGAACAGGATATTACACAATGACCCAGAAGTTGAGAAAAAACAAGGTTGGATCACTGTTGGAGAGCTAGAGGGCTGTGTACATTATAAAGTTGGTGAGATGCTGTTTTTATTTCTAATGTCTAAATGTTCAAAGTGTAGCAATGCACTATTGGTTTAAATTGAAATTGACAAAATTGAACTGGCAACTTTTTTTAAAGTGTGTGTTTGTTTTTTTCCCCACAGTTAAATATGAGAGAATCAAGTTCCTGGTGATTGCACTTAAGAACTCAGTGGAAATCTATGCCTGGGCACCCAAACCTTATCACAAGTTCATGGCCTTTAAGGTATAGAAGAATAACTTACTTTTACCATAAAGACTTGGTTTGTTGCGAAGCATTCAGCTAATAAGCTTGAAGGGATTTGACAAAATTTTAAGGTTTTTTAAATAATCAGATTTGTTATAATCTGAGGGAATATCTTGCATCCATATCTTTAGCATTCTTATTTAGAATAGATCCAGATTAAATTACCACTGAGTTTGAAATATTTCTGCTCAGACTAATTCAACAAGTAAAGATCCCTTTTACACTTTACATCACCTTGCTTTCATATAGCAAATCTAACTGACAATGCTTTACATTCTGTGTGTACGTATCACATAGGAATAGGAATCATGTAGTAATAGGACCATTAATGGTGCATAGCCTTGAAAATATATTCTTGATAATTGACTATGGGCATCTTTCTGTGAAAAGCTGCCCAATGCAAATATGACTGTTAAAAAGTTCCTAATTAATATATTGTTTGCAATAACTGAAAATCAGACTAGGTAGAAAGATGTGTTTTGTTCTTCTCTCTGAAGAAGCTCACTTTAAATATTAAACCTTTTAAGCACTTCTTTGTACAGCAGTCACATTATTTTATTTTTAATATTCTTATGACTAATTTTTTGATTAACTTCAAAGAAGAAAAGTTCTTACAATTAAATTGATTTAAAGAATTAAAATCTGAATTGTTTGTCTTTAAGATACCGCCTGCAGGTTGATACAAACATAGTAAATTAAATTATAATTATTTGTTTATTTATAAATAAAAAAAAAAACGAATATTCAACATCACATTGAAAGATAGTGGTTTGGTTATTGATAAAAGTAAGTATTAAGTATCACTATTTTTACAGTTGAATAATAAGTAATGTAAATATTTACATTAACGTTACAATTTAATGTCAGTAAAACAGGATGAAGGCTTATAAATTTGTCCTTCTGCATAGAGACTGCTTAGTCTTGTGTGTGAACTTTCAGGAAATGGGAACAGACAGAAAACACATCCAACTTTAGAGAAAATTAACTGCTTTAAAAGGAATTTAATTGCTTTCCTGGAAGCCACAATAGCCACAGGTCTGCTCCTTCTTTTACTATCTGCTGCTAAACTCATGGATTAATTTGTTAAAATGAAGTAATGCTGATGTAGCAATTAAGTTCCTTTGACAGATTGCTTTGCAGTGCTTTGGTGCTTGTTTCCTAATCTCCCCACACAACTTTCAGTCTTTTGCAGAGTTGCAGCACCGTCCTCAGCTAGTTGACCTCACGGTGGAGGAAGGCCAGAGGTTAAAAGTTATATATGGTTCCTGTGTGGGCTTCCATGTCATTGATGTGGACTCAGGCAATCCCTACGACATCTACATCCCCTCACATGTAAGATAAAAAAGTTTTTTTATGTGCTCTTCTTTATTTTTATAGACTTTAAAAGTGATTTTTCAATTCCTTGATGCGCCAAGTCACTTAGTATTATCCTACGTTCTACGATCAAGGTCAGCAGTAAGAGGGAATCTTGAAACGACCTCTTTGATTGATTTTCTTGTGGCGCAGTATAGGGATTGATGTCTGTCATCTATTCATTTATTTTTAGCCCGCTAAATCTGGCTCTTGGATTCTCTATATGGAGACGATAGAACGCATACATTATTGATCTAATTTTGTTACAGATAAGAAATATAAAACTGATCCTGCCAGGTTATTTATGTGAACCACAACTAAGCATCAGTTTTCTAAAGCAGCCCTTCTAGCAAGTCTTTGATGTTGTTTTTCACCAGACAGGCAAATGATTAGATAGTGAATGAGATATTGTCATCATTTAGGCATTGAAGGTTTCTTTTATATGTTTAAATTCAGAAGTTTAGGCGTAGGCTACTTAAATAGTTTATCGTGTGACAAAAAAACCAACCACATCAGACTACTTCCAGGGGTGCATGGCTATGTAAACAACACATTTAACTTATAATGTTTCAGTAGAAATGTGAAGGTTGGACTGGCCTTTTTTAATTTACCTTTAATAGCTAAATAAATAAAAGAAAACTGATTATGTCCTAAAATACTAACTGAAGAATCTTTTCTGTCTCTGTCTTTTGCATGAAAAAACATGTCGATTAATTAAATTTTATTTACAGAGCACTTTTAGTGTTAAAGGAAAAGTACACCCAAAACATGATTAGCCTTCATTTTCTACTCACCCCCATGCTGAACAACACTCTGGAGTACTTTTTTGATATCTCAAATGCAGATCTGGGAGGCTTCTTGCTGTCTGCTGACATTCAAATAATGGAGGTCTATGGCGCCCGAGGCAGAAATGTCCATAAAAGTCCACAAAAAACGTGTCAATATTCCTCCATACTGCTCGTCCAATGTATTCCAAGTGTCCTGAGTGGGTAGCGTCCATAATTTACTCGAAACGAAGCCATTTAGAATGTTTTTAGAGCATAAACAGTAGTGTATAGGATTTCCTAAAAGCGCGCGCCTGCGCGTTCACAACGCTACGGAAGCCGGCAGACCAAACCAGATGAACGTGCGCATTCAGCGTCTGCTCTGCCGATAATGCAAGCGTAGAAGAAGAAATGTGCTGTTTACCTGTGCAAAGAAAGAAACAACGAAAGAAAAATGTCTGAGGACTTCAGTGTTGAGGAAGAGCATGAGTTCTTTGCCGAGCTGAATGCGCACTTTCATCTGGTTTGGTCTGCCGCGGTTTCCGTAGGCTCGTGAACGCGCAGGCGCGCGCTTTCAGGAAATCCTATACACTACTGTTTTTTGCTCTAAAAACATTGTAAATGACTTTGTTTCGAGTAAATTATGGACGCTACCTACTCAGGACACTTGGAATACATTGGACGAGCAGTATGGAGGAATATTGACACGTTTTTTGTGGACTTTTATGGACCTTTCTGCCTCGGGCGCCATAGACCTCCATTATTTGAATGTCAGCAGACAGCAAGAAGCCTCCCAGATCTCCAGATGCATTTGAGATATCAAAAAAGTACTCCAGAGTGTTGTTCAGCATGGGGGTGAGTAGAAAGTGAAGGCTAATCATGTTTTGGGTGTACTTTTCCTTTAAAGGAGAGGTAAACAGAAAAAAAAAAACTGGCATTAACAGTGGGAGACAAAAACGAATGATTAAAATGATCAAATCATCTAAACAGGGGTTGAGACTAATTCTATGGTAGTAAATATAAATGATTAAAAACAAAACAAATTAATTGATTATAGATTAAAACTGTGAAATCATTGTTGTGTAGATTACACCCTTAAATAATAAGATAGAAAATTCAAAATAAAAAGAAATCAATACAGAAAATACACCTAACTTTTTAGATTATTTTGTCATATTCTGCTGAAAAATGTAGAAATAAATTGTAATTACCAATTTATGAATTTGAGAAGGCAAACATATTGGCTCTAGCAGAAAAACAAAAAACATATATCCTCCTTTTTGGTCTTTATAATAATTTTAATAATTTCAAGCACATAAAGTAATAATTGCAGTAATAATTTAAGCTTAGCAACAACATTTTTGTACACACTAATTTATTCATAGAGCCTGGAAAGTAACAGGTTTAGGCAAAGATGTAAAACTAGCTTACAGGCTGACTTTAAAATTAGTTACCTCTGCAATCTGCTCAGGTTAAAGTATCAACTTCACAATGTAGATTATCTGATTATTAGATATGCAAATTACATCAATGGGCTTTGTTCCATATCCTAAACACACTTACTGGATCCAAGCTGACAGATAACACTATTATAATGACGTCTAATAAAACAAATTAATCTCAAAGTTCACTTTTATACAGTACAGTTACACAACTAATTTCATTTGTAAATTTTACCATTCATTTTTAATCATGTTATAAACACAAGTTTGTACAGTTGTTGATTAACTCGGAGATATCTTTATTTTCAACATAAATAAAGGTATTTTTTATTAAGTTGTTTTATAAATCATTTCAGCTCATTCTTCTCTGTTTACTGACTTTAATTTGTAGAATTGATTTTACCACAGTGATTAGAATATTTATTTAGTCAATTTGCTTACTTGAGTCCCAATTTTGGACAGAATTTTGGGACTTTGATGCATTAGGACCTAATTTGAGATTGAGAAACACATAGTTTGCAAAGCAATGACATGGTCCCACCTTTGAAATAAGGCATGAGTGTGGCTTGTTAAACTGAACTAACCAATTTTTTTTAAAATATAAAAACTATGATTATTTGCACTAAATTAAAGATTTGACAAGAAGGAGAAGTTATTTTTTATTAAGAACCAGACTGGTTTGGATTAATTTCTTTTCTTAGTAAATAGAATAATCATCAACAACTCTTTTTTGTATATTTTTTGAACATTTCGTCTGATATTATCACTTATTGGCTGCCTTGCAGCAAGAAGATTCTGGGTTCAATTCCTGGCCCGGGGTCTTTCTGCATGGAGTTTGCATGTTCTCCCTGAGCATCCGTGGGTTCTCTCCGGGTACTCCGGCTTCCTCCCACAGTCCAAAAACATGACTGTTTGGTTAATTGGCTTCTCTAAAGTCCCCTTAGGTGTGAGTGTGTGCGTGAATGGTTGTTTGTCTCTGTGTTGCCCTGCGATGGACTGGTGACCTGTCCAGGGTTTAACCCGCCTCTCGCCCAGTGACAGCTGGAGATAGGCACCAGCGACCCCGCTTGGGACTAAGCGTGTTAGGAAAAGGATGGATTGATTATCATTTATTTTGAAGTCTTTAATATTTATGTGGATCTAAAATCAAAAACACAATAATTATGTTAATTTGCAAATATTTTTTGTAAGATCACCAAGGAGTTGAGGAAGATTTTTTCACTGTTTTCACAATTTCATCATTGTCCTTTTCCTCTCCTTCCCTGCCAACTTCCTCTGCAGTGTTCCAAACACATGAAGGTGACATGCTGGACTACTCTCTGTATAAATAGATATTTAGTGAATATAACTCCATTGAAATAGATTAGCATTACATGTCCCCATGTTCTATACAGTCTAGTAGTGAACCCACTAACTAAACGTTTTTAGAAACTAATTTCTTAGAATAAATTTGTCTCACCCATGCAAAGCTCTCAAACCTTTTTTTTTTTTTTTTACCACCAAGGAAAAATACTAAAACCAAGTTTTATCAGGTTTCCTACTGTAATAAATTATGCTTGGCTTTATTGCTGTTTCCCATGATTGTGCCCTTTCCTGTGGTTACCTGTCCTTACGATAAAGCAAAGCTCATCTTCAGATTAATTTCTCATAACTCTTGGTAAATTTAACCTTTTAAAGCCTGGGCCATGAAATAATTCTATTTATTTTATTACAGTTGTCAAAATTCTGAGAAATGACATTAACTTTTGAATAAGTAAAATTTGAGCATCAATTCTGATACATTAAGCATTTCTGTATAATCATTTACACATTTTTTGCATCTGTCTGATTGTGTAAGTCAGCGTTTTCAAGAACAAAAATATCACACTGATGATGCAGAGGTCTCAAAAACTCATGTATCAGATATGATAAGCTGAGAGTGAATTTCCCCATTGTGGAAAAATAAAGAATTTACATTTACATTACATGACATACTTGGCTTTAAAGGGTTAACTTACTGCTGGCAGTAGCAATAATTAGCTTATTTTCTAATTTTGCTCTTGTGTAAAAGCAGTGTGTTACTGGCTGAGACAGATTTCTGCTCTTCTTATTGCATTACTAATCTTAAGTAAAAATTCTGGATTCCAGAAAGTAGACCAGATTAAAAAAAAAAAAACTCTCCATTGATTCCTGTTGTATTCTAACATTAAGGTTATTACGACTAACTTAATCACACTGGTTTAAAAATCCTCTGAAATATAATGGGTTGTATTTATCATAGATCCAGAGTCAGGTGACACCCCATGCCATTGTCGTGCTACCTAAGACTGATGGAATGGAGATGCTGCTGTGCTATGAAGACGAGGGGGTCTACGTCAACACCTACGGACGCATCACCAAAGACGTGGTGCTACAATGGGGAGAGATGCCTACCTCTGTTGGTATGTACTCTTTAAATGTCATGGGTTTGCACATTTTTGGTTTTGTTTAAGTTTTCTTTTTGACTTTTGATTGGTTTCATTTCCTTTTTGTGTTGTTTTCTGGTTGTGTTTAAGTTCTTATGTATTTCTTGTTTACCTTCTGTTCCGTTACCCCTAGCTCCCTTCTAGATCCTTCTGTCCACACCTGCTCCCAATCAGTTGATTACCCCAGTCTTTGTTTTGTTTGGCATATATACTCCTCTTAAGTTACTGTTAGCTGGTTTCTCGTCCTTCCTTTGGGCCTCATGTGTTTTACCTGATGTCTCCTGGTTCTTTTGGTTTTCTGTATTTTGTTTTTGACTTTTGCTTTTGTTTCCCTTTGGATGAAATGCATTAAATCTTCAAAAATCCTGCACAGCTTCCGTCTGTGTATTTGAGTCCTCTAAAAACCTCCACACAACCTGACAGTAAAGAAAACTTAAACAGAACCACAAAGTGCAAAACTGTGACAAAATAAATATTCCTTTTCACTTGGAAGCACATTTTGAAAGGAAATAGCAGTTGAGGAGAAGGATTTACCCCCTATCTGCTGATTTCATATAAAGAGTTGATAACTGGCAAATAGTGGGGAATGGCTATCATAAGAAATGTGAGACTGGCTGAAGTGGGAGGATTAATAAGAGAAAGAGACAGTTCAGCTGGTGCAGCCATGCATTTGAGAAATTCTGTTAAATTTTTGAACTTTGCTGCCCTTGTGTGGCAGCCAGACACATTACACATGATGACTTGAAATACATTGCAAGAGGAAACTTTAAGATATTAAATCAAATGTTCGTTGGTGTTTTCTATTTGCCTTTTATTAGCAAATTCTTAAAAGTCACACTTTTTTGTTAGAAATTTCTACCATGAAGTTGACTTGAAAGGTCTTTCAGTGACCCTTAGAGCATAGAGTCTGGAATCCTGGGGTTGTAAGTTCGAAACCCACTCCCCAAGACTGCCACTCTGGCTCCCTGTGCGAAGACCCTTAAACCCACACTGCTCCCCAGGCGTCACAAATGGCAGCCCAATGATCCCCAAGGAGATGGGTTAAATGTAGAGCGTGAATTTCGTTGCATTGTACTTGTGACAGTGTCATAACAATAAAATTGAAAATCTGGGAATGTGGGCATTTCTTACTGAAAAGATCATTAGGATTATTTTTTTTTAAAGGCTAATGTGGTATTTCCTTATTTTCTTATCCCAAAGAGTGACATTCATTGTAAACTGTTGTATATTATTTTTGCAATATATTTTTTTATAAACTTAAAACCATTTTTCATCTTTTTCCAGCCTATATCCATTCTAATCAGATTATGGGCTGGGGCGAGAAAGCCATAGAAATCCGTTCCGTGGAGACAGGTCATCTGGATGGAGTGTTCATGCACAAGAGAGCCCAGAGACTTAAATTCTTGTGTGAGCGAAATGATAAGGTAATTACCGGGCAGTATAAGTTGTGCTTGTCATCTTTTTGTTTTCTTTTACCAAATACTCTGTCCAAATATTACACATAAAACGACTATTTGCAGGTTTCTTTAGCAGATACACTTATTATTATTAGATACACAATATTACCTGATAAAGACATTAAACATTATTCTGCCATAAGATTAATATTTAGGTAGAAAAGCAAATGTTTTCTCTTATTTTTTATACTGACATAATAGGTATCATCCCCTCTGACATTTTTCCACATTTTGTCAGGTTAAAACCTCAAACATCATGTGTACTTTATTGGGTTTGATTTGATTGACCAACAAAGAGTAGAGAATATGTCTAAAAGGAGTGGAACATGACAGATGTTTTAAAAATGTATTTTTTTTACAAATTAAATACTTAATGTTTGGAGAAGATTATTGAACAAACAGCATGAGGAGAAAGGAAAGCAGCAAGGGAGAAAGTTGGAAAGAGGCTTATAGCAAAGTTTAGATAGTAATAAAGCATCCATAGTTCAAAAAGAATTAAAAAAATAAGGAGTACTGTTCAAGCCCTTAAAATAAAAAGATGGAAAGAGTCCAAATATACAGGCTTAGAAATAAAAGATTTAATAATATAGCCATCCAAGAGACCTATGGTCATTCTGGAGGTGCTGCAGAGATCCACAGATTATTTGGGAGAACCTTTTAACAGGACCGTTGGTCATCAGAAGGCCATAGGAAGAAATCACTAATCATTCTTTGATCAGCTGTATAGGGGACCAAATAGTCAATATTTTGTACTTCATACGTACAAACCCTTCATAGTGGAAAACTATCACCTTTAAAACACCATCCTCACGGTGAATGAGGGTGGCTGTTTGACATGGGGTTGCATTGACATGGAAAAAAAGGCCATATGTAAAAGATTTTTATAAAAAAAAAAAATGTTGGCCAGTTTGTGTTGGTCTATTATTAAAAAAGTAAATCAAAATAAAGTCAGTTGGAATGGTGTTAATACTGTACATATGGGTGCTGCACATTGAGACACATAAAATGTTTTATCCCGATCCCTTTTCCAGGTATTCTTTGCATCTGTGCGTTCAGGCGGTAGCAGCCAGGTGTTCTTCATGACACTCAACAGAAACTCGATGATGAACTGGTGATGTGTCACCTCGTCTGCTCTCCTTCAGTCTCCTACTGGCGAGTCCCACAACCTGCTGTTTCTGCTGCGGCCTAATACACATCAGACGAAATGAACAGACTGACACGGATCATCACATATGACCTCTTTTTGCGCTCTAGAGACATTTATGGAGTAGGGAAAAAAAAAAACAGTCCCAGAAGAGACTAGATACCCTAGTCTGAACTGGGCCATGCAGAAGCCATTGCTACTTAAGTGACTGGCACTCACGTCTTCTTTTTCTTCTTCTTTTGTCCTGTCTCTAATGTACCACTGCATTTAAATGTTTACCCCTTTACTCCTGCCTCCTTTGGCTCATCATATTTCCTATCATCTGACTGCCTTGTCTTATTCACCTAGCATAACTCATTCTGAAGAGCTCTGATGCAGTTTAATAAAAGATGAGAATTGGAATAGCAGTGGCAAAATAAAATATATTACAGGACTTCAAATTCAGTCTGAATGTCTGTAATTGAAGATGCCTGTTTAATTCTCTTTTCCACCCTTCTCCACTTCCTCGTGGCGCCATATTTCTGTACTCTCACCAAACTCGCATCTAAATTTCGACACTGTCACATTTTCCTGACAGACGCAGCGAGGCGCTCTGTTGTGAAGTGGCTCCTAACAATATGCAAGTGTAATATCCTCCTCCCTTTAAAATGAAATCCCTCCTCCATCCTTTTGTCTTCTCTCGTTTCCTTCTTTCCTTCTTTCCCGCCTCCTCTTCTTCTCTGTACTTTTTAATATCTGAAGGTGCTGCATCAGTTTTACTGTAATCTTATAAAAACAAAACATGTGCGTGTGTGGGGGGGATAGGGGCTGTATTGGAGTCAGTGGTACCTTAATATTGTAAAAAATTACAGCACATCTGTGTGTGTGGGTGTGTGTATGTGTGGGTACAAATCTGGGTGTCTTTGACTTGATGCTGAAGTTTAAATCGATCAGAATCAAAGAATTGAAATTAATATCAGGCTGATTTTCATTCTCTAACCCAATGTGATCAAAGCAGCATTGAGTTTGTTTACATGCAAATAGAGTATTTTATTGTATTAGTATGAAGTTTAAAAGTTTGTGCATCTAAGCAGCGTGCATTTACAGAAGGCAATACATAGCTTTTGAGTTTTTTTGAAGGGGGGTTGTTTTTCTGTTTTATTTTAACCTTAAACAATGTGTTTTTTTAATATATATTTTCTTGTCCTGAATTCAGACTTACTGGGATCTGAGCTACTGTCCCAACTACTGTGTGAATATGTAAAGCATTCACTTTCGAACACTGTGGGATCCTTTTCTGTCATGCTCCTCCTTTGGTTTTCTCATCTAATTGTGGCTCCTAAATGTTTGTACAGTGCCTAGCATGATGTAAGCAAAAGCTAAACAGAAGCCAAAAGGATATTAAGGATTACTGATCACATTTTAACTACTGTCTTACTTTTATGGTTTTTACTGTTGTATTATTTTGTCTTTTGCACCCAATAGGGATGGGGGGGCGGGGGTTATTTTATTATTTAAAAGTAACACAGTGCTGATTATTGTTTTGTCTTCACTGACAGAGATATGCATTAATAAATTTACATCTAATTTTGTGCTTTGAAAGCATTTTCTTTTATCAAAAACATCTATCAGATTCTATGCATTGTACAAAAGTTTTTTTTTTTTTTTTCGTTTTCTTTTTTTTTTTTTACCAGATGACATCTGTGTTATACAGCAGCATAATACAGGGGTTTTTTCATAGCTGAAATGCTGCGGTAACTGGATGATCTCCTGCCATATGTTTTATTCAGTAATGAAGTTACTCCAAAGCAGGGTTTTGACTCCATGTTCTTACTTTGACCTGAGGAAATTTATGCTGTAGATAATCATCTTCTGACAATATGCAGTAAAACCCTTTTACTTGATATTGCTTTTTAATGACAGTAAGATAAGCAGTGACCCAGGATCTTTTATTGTTTCTGATATTGTCACATATGATCTCTACGAATTACGCTAGTTTAGAAGAGATAAATTCCCTCATGCTGATTAAGATATCCTAAAATGTCCAAAATGTCAAAGGAGGTTGACCTGGGATCTGTTAATTGGGATAATATTTATTTGACCACTTGGGGCTACTCGTATACCATCAAAGGCACTTTGGTAGCTGATAATAACATTATGCTAGATTTATTTTACAGTGATGCCAAATTCTTATAAATGGTCGACAAGTCAGGAACTTGACCAAGCTTCTGTGAGTTCATAAAGACTTGACCACTTGAGGGCAGACTGGACTTTAAAAAAAAATGTCATTTGATCTTTTAAATCTGAAAAAGGGGGGAAAATGTTACAGTAAAAAGTGTCTTCCTTAGTTTCAGTAGAATTTTGAAATTTATCATCTTTTTCAGTTCCTTACCTGTTGCTTTAAAAAACGCAATGATAAAAACCTACTTTTTTGTCCGGATCTGTCTTGGAGTAACTTTACACCTACAAGCAGTGCTAAATTGTTTTATAGGGCCTAAAAAAGAGAGGAGGTCATAAAATCAATCTTTTGTTAATTAATTCCTTTGTGAAATGTTTTTTAATGATATTTCAAAGCACTTCCTAATACATTTACACTGTAGCTGTCCTCTGTGCTGCTGTAGATAGGGTGTACTGATCTGAGTGGGCTAATGTGTTCTTTAGCAATAAACTACAGAAAACACTGTCTTCCCTTGGATGCTCATACTTTGTTTCCGATCAATCATAAGTGAGGCATTAATTACCATCATGCCGAAATCTCTCCTTTAAAATCCAGAAGCACTGTAAACATTATTCATTTTTGATTTCTTTATTTTAAAAGAACATTACTAATATCCTGCTTTTGGGATTGATTTGTTTTGGGGTTTGTTTGCTTTAAAAGAGATGCTGAAAAGGATAAATAAAAGAGACTAGCAAAACAGGATTCTGTTCGTGAGCCTTTTATCTCTTAATTTTGTTAGTGTGCACATATCAGCCTCGACCCTCAGACTTTGTTCAACCTAGTGTATCATTAACAAACCAACACATGAGTACAAGTTCAAGCATGTGTTTGCACGTGTACTTTTTATAAAAGAAATTGAATGCAAGTGTCATTGTGCATGGGTATGGGTTATCTGCTAAAAAAAACGATTGCACTACTCTTACAAATAAATGATTTTATTTTTTTTTCTATGGTTTTAAATGTAATTTACCTGAAATCATCCTGAAAGCAGTGTTTTATTAAATAATTATATTTGGTATATGCTTAAGTCTGTATATGAAATATTATGATCAAAAAACTCTTCCATGGGGGAAAAATCCATCTATATTGTCAATGTTCTCATGAGCCTGTTCAGGGGTTTGTGGGTGGGTGTGTGGGTGCGTGCATGTGTGTGTGTGTTGGTTGGTCGATTAGAGAGTGGACACTGTGTGATCAGGCAAGTTGAGTTCACTGATCATTACCAGCCACAAGGCTAACAGTCACGATCCATGGAGACGGGAAAGGTATGGCAATTCTTAAAAATGGCATTCTTTATATGCATTTCCCAAATGTATCCTGAGGGTTAAGGTGTTTTTCTCTATATTTCTGCATATTTGCATGTTGTTAAAAACAAAACAAAAAACCAAACACTATCTGCTGTGGATGTGGACAGTAACCTGTGTGTGTGTTGCTTGCAGCAACTATCAGGTACTTTGGCTGTAGCTGTGTTTACAGCAGCTCTAGGATCCCTACAGTACGGATATAGTCTAGGAGTCATCAATGCACCGCAGAAGGTAAAAAACACTTTATTGAGTCATTGAATTGCTTAGTCATCACATGCCCTGTAAGAAAAAAATATTTTATTGTCATCTATTGTGAATCTGCATAAAGTAAAAAAAAAAAAAAAAAACTCTTTAGGAAAATGTTAAGCTTTTTCATTTACTGATATTGTGGCTGATATTTATTTTTCTGTTACTTCTTTAACAAATACACATATGAGAGACACACAATACATTTAATAAATAAAACATGTTCTTACAAGACATACTCCATCTATTGCTATCCCTTCTCCATATTGTCAAGTATCTACAATTAGATTACATAAGATATGATTGTAATATTTCCTTTACAGTGACCTGTAAAAGCATTCATACTCCTCAGAGATTTCACTTCACCTTTATTATATTTTATTAGATTTTTATGTCTGCTCTAGTAAAGTGGAATAAAAGTGATGCATGATTAACATATTTTTATTACGCAACTTTAAAATACCAAAGTCAAAGCAAAAAAGTTACCCTGACAGGCCAGTAAGGAGAGTAGCTACTAAAGGGACTATGGTAGCTTTGGATGAGCTGCAGAGATTCTGTTTAGAGATGTGTATACCATAGATCTAGCTTAATGGAAACAATTCCCAAAACAAGATTGGTTTTAAAAAAGCATCATAAAAAAGTCATAACTAAAGTTTGCCACAAGACTTATGGGGAATTATAAAGTACTTTAATTATTAGATGCATTGTTCATTTGCTTTATAAATTTCCTATTACCTTAAAGCATCAATACGCCAAAAGAACGTAAAACATTTTTTTCCCCAGGCCACAAAACTAGACAGTTATCTTCAGGTTCGTCCAACCACATCTATGTATCATTGCATTCTTTGGTCTTTCTATGTCCCAGGTCATTGAGAAGCATTATGCTATGTCTTTGGGTGTGTGGACCGAGAGGTCAGAGCTACTGGATAACAGCACAGAGGAAGAAGGTTCATTTGAGGAAAAAAAGCATCCCTCAGTAGTAATGTATTGGTCACTGTCAGTAGCCATCTTCTCTATTGGCGGCATGGTATCCTCATTCCTGGTAGGATTTATCGGAGACTTCAAAGGAAGGTTGGAGATTTTTTATAAAATTTTTTTACTAATGCTGTAAGAACAAAGAGGAAGTTCATTCTTTTGTTCTGCAGGGTAAAGGGCATGCTTATGGTCAACGTCCTGGCTATAGCTGCTGGACTATTGATGGGTCTTTCCCGAATGTGGAAGCCCCACATTATGGTTATCACAGGGCGCGCTGTCATGGGCTTCTACTGTGGTATGTCGAAGCACCTGGAATCACCGATTGTCATATTTTGCTGCACATTGCTTTAATCTTTAAAGATCTTCACCTCAGGGTTGACATCTGGACTGGTGCCAATGTATATTGGAGAGATTGCACCTAAAGCCTACAGAGGCGCTCTAGGAACCTTGCATCAGTTAGCCATCGTCATTGGCATCCTGCTCAGCCAAGTAAGTCACATGTTCACATTCCTAAACTACTGCAAAGAAAAACAGAGAAAAAACAGGGAGATGTAACCAAATATAACATCTGTTTGTCTGAAGGTGATAGGCTTGGATTTTGTTCTTGGCAACGATGAAATGTGGCATGTGTTGCTTGGTCTTTCCGGGGCTCCTGCAATATTACAGTCCCTTATGCTGCCATTGTGCCCTGAGAGTCCACGCTACCTTTACATTCTGCTGGGCAAAGAGCAGGAAGCCAGAAGAAGTAAGACTTTTAATATGTAAAGAGTATTTTATGTAAATATCCCACATTTTCAACATATCAGAAAGTCAGCACCTTGTCTCCCATTGAAGGACAGATAGGAACATTCTGAGATCAGCTTGTTATTTGAGCGTAGCCTTGCATGGAAGTGTAAAGGCACCCCAAATAATTTCGCAAAAGTTTATTTCATTCAAGAGTTTAAGTAAAAAAAAAGTAAATGCATTAACAGATGTTCTATAAAAAGGAATTTTAGTGGACAAAAAGCATTAGCCACTTTTATTTAGGGAAGATGTTTATTTTTTAATCAATATTTCCCTTTCTCTGTAGGTCTACATCGTCTAAAAGGAGCATATGATCCTGCTGCTGATCTGGAAGAAATGAGGAGGGAGAAGGAGGAGGCAGACAAAGAGCCAAGAGTGTCTATCCGTTTGTTGGTAGGGCTCTACAGAGATCATCTTTAAAAGTTCTTGCTGTTTCTGACAAAATCCTCCTAAATGGGAAAAAAATACAACTTTTTGTTGTATTTCCTTAATCTAGAATGATGGTCTTTAATCTTAGTATGGGGGATCCAGTGAGATAAAATAAATATTTCTGTAAAATGAACATTATTGGAGCATTTTACTTTAATATTTATTTTTGAAGCTAATTGGAGATTGAGTTACCTTCAGTTGGCATGTTTCCTTTTGGCATACATTTGATGTGAATTAGAGGCCCATCTTGGTTAGCCTTCCACCAAAACAGGAAACACAAGATAATAAAGCTATAAAAATATGTATTGATCTTCATAAATTAATAAACTAAAATGAAAGGAGTTACCTGCCTAAAGTTGTTGCACTCAGAGAAATTTTAAAACCACCGAATCTGGGACAAGGTAAAAAGAACAAAAATCTTTAGCTCTTGCTGTTATAAGAATGCAGCAATGTTTCCAGTTTCTAGATTAAGCTCCTTCAAAAAAATATTTGATCAAAATGAATATGCAGAACATATTTTATATAATAAACAATAGCCATAGCCATAGCGAATACAATAGCAATGAATAGATATGTTTTTATAATTCATAAATCAATTTTTTTACTGTCAGCTTGTTTGTGCACCCTTGTAGTTTGTCTCTTCAGTCAAAGTTCTGTGGTAATCCACTTGCTTTTGTGGACTTTGGGACTGGGCTGGGTTCACCCAC